ATATATATATATATATATGCTAATTTATTTATTCATTTATTTATAAAGATAACATATTAATTTGTATTCATCTTTTTTCTTTAATCATGGCAGATGTAAAGGTTTATAACAACAAAATTATAAAATGACTACAAATAAAATGTAAAAAAAATGTTTAATGCCTTTGTGACTATGTATCTTTTTCTTATTATTTCTCCAGTCCCTCCGCAGATTGGGAACTGACTGGAGGGAATGGCAGACACCAATAAGCACACTGACAGCAACCAGCAGCGGTTGCTGAGCAACAGGACTGGCGGCCATTATTCTGAAGACAGATGGAGACACAAGCTTAGGAATAGTTTGGGCTCTAGTGGATAGTGGTCGCCATCTTTGGTAAGGGAAGAGCCTGTGGTAATAACTCGCCCCCTCCTGCTGCTTGGAAACGCCCGGACTAAACATGGTAGTCTTCCTGTTTCGTCGCACGGGCGTGAAGACGTCAATGAACAGCGGCGCTGAGTAGGCGTGGCAGAGTGAGGCGCAGGAAGGAGCTGTCAGTGTTGCAGGTGAGCGGAGGTCCGTTGTGATTTGTGTCGGTCTGTCATTGTAAGTCTGCCCGATGTGCCTCTGGGACAGGCCTTGCCTCGCAGTCCACCGACTGTCACCCCTCACCAGGGTCGTTCATGTTCCCTCTTCCCCCAATACAGCCCCTCACTGCAGTCACTGGCTCAGTGTTCTCTGTACAGCGCTTCAGTATGTGTCAGAGCTATATAAATGTATAATAATAGTGTGTGACTGTGGGGGGGCATTAGAGTGTAAGCTCCTCTGCTGCAGCGACTGATAGGAACGGCTCAGTGTCCTCTGTACAGCGCTATGGTATATGCCAGAGCTATAACACTGTGTTGTTGTTGTTGTAATATTGATAGTGTGTGACTGTGGGGGGACATTAGAGTGTAAGCTCCTCTGCTGCAGATACTCACATGAATGGCTCAGTGTTCTCTGTACAGCGCTGCGGCGTATGTCAGAGCTATATATACGTATGTTGTGGTGGGGGAGGGGGGGCTAGTGATGCAGCATGGTCTTTTTCGTTGTATGGCCGCTTTGGGTTCTAACATTCATCTCTCTCGCCCGTCTACCCAGAGCCATCAGGATGAGCAACAGCCACCCTCTGCGCCCGTACACCGCCATTGGGGAGATCGATCACGTCCACATCCTGTCGGAGAGCGTGGGAGCGCTGATCAACGGCGAGGAGTACAGCGATGTCACCTTCGTCGTGGAGAAGATGCGTTTCCCCGCCCATCGGGTCATCTTGGCTGCCCGGTGCCAGTATTTCAGGTACAGCCGGGGATAATGAGCAGTGTGCTCCAGGCCGCTCTACTCTGATGTCTACAGAGGAACATGTCATGGTTACCTTTGTATTCTTCATGCCATGAAGGTCCTTGTTCAGGCACTTCCTCCTATAGGGTGACAACGCTCTGTCCCTTGTGTGCCAATTGCACTCCAGCGATGTCACCCTTTCGCACATGCTTGTGATGGAGACTACAAGTGATTGTTTCAACACACAGTACATACTCATGGTCAACTGTTGTCACCATCAGGAAACCCCACCTGAGAAACACCAAGCAGCCATCGCTTGAGTGCATGTAGACAGGAAGCGGCTGCAGTAGGGATGAGTTTAGATCTGGACCGAACCCGGAAGGAAGCTCCTTCACCTGCGACCGGAAATTCCCCCCGCACAGCTGCATGTAAGCAAAGGGGTGTGATGCTGTGACATCATTGACCTTATATGGCCACATGGCTATATTTGATTAATGACGTTGAACCTAATATGGTTATGTGGCCATATAAGGGCAACGATGTCCGCACAAGTGCCCCACCCCTTTCTTCATGTGCAGCTGTGTGGTGGGGAATGCCCCGACCCACATCTGATTGGGCCGGTGGCCTCATGACCCTTCTGGGTTCTCGGGTCACGTTCATTGTGAGCAACCCTGAGATGTACGTAAGGATAGGCGGGGCCCGGTATTATTTATTTCACGGGAACATGATTCAATACGTAATTAGCTCCTAAAGCTCTGATTAAATCCCAGCTCACGATGAACAACACTCATCATGGCAATCATTAGGATTACCATGTCATTAATAAACCGGGAACACGCCATGTTTGTATACTCGGTGACTACCCACACTGCTGCCAATGGACGTCCTCCTGGATTACAGTGGATTAAACTCAATTTGTACTCCACTTACCTGCATGTGCCAATTGTTATCTGGAAGTATATGTGGGTCCTATATTTATATACATACATGACCTGTGTAGAGTGTTGTTGTTTTTTTTTATACATGGGTGTATGTGGATCTTATATTTATATACATACATGACCTGTGTAGAGTGTTGTTGTTTTTTTTTTATACATGGGTGTATGTGGATCTTATATTTATCTACATGTATTGGTTCCGTGCAGAGCGTTGTTATATGGAGGTATGCGGGAGTCCCAGCCCCAGGCGGAGATCTTCTTGCAGGACACGACGGCGGAGGCCTTCGCCATGCTGATAAAATACATCTACACGGGCCGGGCCAGCCTGAGAGAGGAGCGGGAGGAAGTGCTGCTCGATTTCCTCAGCCTGGCACATAAATATGGCTTCCCAGAGCTGGAAGACTCCACCTCGGAGTACCTGTGTACCATCCTGAAGATCCAGAACGTCTGCATGATCTACGATGTGGCCAGTCTGTACTCCCTGGGGAAGCTCTGCACCACCTGCTGTCTCTTCATGGACCGCAGCGCACAGGACGTCCTGTCCAGCGATGGCTTTCTATCACTGTCCAAGGTATGGTGGGCCACTGGTCATCCCCTTCTCCATACCCATCCTCCTCTCACTGTCCAAGGTATGGTGGGCCACTGGTCATCCCCTTCTCCATACCCATCCTCCTCTCACTGTCCAAGGTATGGTGGGCCACTGGTCATATCTCCTTCTCCATACCCATCCTCCTCTCACTGTCCAAGGTATGGTGGGCCACTGGTCATATCTCCTTCTCCATACCCATCCTCCTCTCACTGTCCAAGGTATGTGGTGCCACTGATCATATCCCTCCATCCTCATCCTCCTCCTCTCACTGTCCAAGTTTGATGTGCCACTTGGCATATCCCACAACTCCCTTCTCCATCCCTATTCTTATGCCATTGTCCAAGGTATGGTATGGTCCTTTCTCCATCCCATCCTCCTCTCACTGTCCAAAGTACGGTGTGCCCTAGTCATATCGCACATTCCTCATTCTCCGCTCACTGTCCAAGGTGCAGTTCACCACTGGTCATATCCAACAACCCCCCTTTCCATTTTCATCCTTTTCTTAATGTCCAAGGTACAGTGTGCGACTGGTCATAGCTAACATTCTCTTCTCCATCTTCATCTCACTATCCTTGGTGCGGTGGGCCCACTGGTGATATCCCCCTTGTCCCTTCTCTATCCTGCTCTTGCTGTCCAAGGTACGGTTTTCCACTGATCATATCTCCCATCCTTTTCTTCATCCTCCTCTTACTCTCCAAGGTTTTTTTCAATTGTAAACTTGACCATCTACTTCTTCAAGGTCCACATATTCAAGGTGCCCCCCTCCCTTTCCTTCCCTAAAATGCTAAAACCTGTGTGGGGGGAAATAGCCTATAATTCTCACCTTTCCCCGACTTGCATGGGGTGACTTCATCTGTCTGCCGACATGATCCCTGCAAATGCTGAGTAGTCCACGTCTCATGAGGAGGCGCTAGCACAATTCACGATCATCTTCTTGTGAGATTTGGTTACTCTACATTCTCCGATCTGGCCCGGAAGCAGGATGACGTCACCCTCACCTGGACGCTGCAGGAGGAGGATGGGGAAAGCGTATTATCTATTTTTCCTCTCACAGATACTTAATTTAAGAAGAAGGGGGCAACTTGAATAAGTAGACCCTGCTACCAAGGTTGAAGGTCTGCTTTAAGAATAAATGACTACCTTGATCTTCCTATTGCTACAGCTGGTTGTTGTTGTTGGTATTAGGAGTACTCGGATGTAAATTTATTTTTTGGCTCAGAAAGCCGTCAAATACCAAATTATTTATCATTATCTGAATTTATGACTCCGCAGTCCAAAAGACAGAGGGGCATGAAATGGAATTGGGTGGGAAGATAGATTATTAGAGGCGGGGGTGTAGCCACAACCTTCTATTTGGGTCCTAATGATTATTTGGTTAAGCTCTGCTCTTGAGTTGTATGTGATTTCTTTGGCTTCAGAGACCTCCAGATCTCAGCAAGGAATATATAGGGAATCTGTTTCAGTCTTATATCTTAGATTGAGCTTTTTATCGGCAGGGTGCTCTCCTGGATATCGTTCAGAGAGATTCATTTTCCGCTCCAGAGAAAGACATCTTCCAGGCCCTGATGCGTTGGTGCCGGCACAACCCGAAGGAAAACCACACCGAGATCATGGCCGCCGTTCGCCTCCCTCTCATGAGCCTGACTGAGCTCCTTAACGTGGTGAGACCGTCCGCACTGCTCTCCCCGGACGCCATCCTGGATGCCATTAAAGTGCGCTCAGAAAGCCGCGACATGGACCTCAACTATCGCGGCATGTTAAGTAAGACATGTTATCCTTCTATAAAATTTAAAGCTATATATAATGAAGTCCATCCTCAACACCCGTCATACCTGGCCCCACCCGCTCACATGCATCACGACCCTATTATGCATTTTGAGACAGGAAGTGGGGGGGGATCTGCAGGGATTGGAAGCCTAAATGTACATTTCAGCACTACTCCAGCACCGATCTCAGTACCTTTCTCAGGAGCCCTCAGCTCTGATGCAAGTAGTGGGCTGGCTGTTGGGAGGGGTTCCTTGGCAGAATGTATTTGCATGCAGGCTACCCTATATAACACTAACATCTGATGCTGAGCCTCCATGATTGAAAGAACTGAAATCCATTGAATAAAAGGCCTAGGCCATGGACATTCAAGCTAGGGAGGAAAGCACTAGATGATGCTGGATCTCTTCCAGCCAGGAAGTGAGGTGGGCTCTATCTGACTTGCTGCAGCTTCTGATGCACATGGTGAGAAGCTTTCAGTGTGCAGTGAAATCGGAGTAAGCCATTCCAGCCGGTACAACTGTGCCAGACTGAAGGGAAGGACGGAGGTCGGCTTTAAACTATAGTGCTCTCTGAATGTATACGTATTTGGTGTTCTACAGCAAGTGGCCCAAGAGGGCTTCAGTCAGATGAAACGTGATGTGTTGGCCAATAACCATGTTATGTGATATAGAGATAGCTGCATGTGTCTGAATTTGTGAAGGAAATCTGTATATCAGTACTAACTGTCCCTCTCTCTCGCCAGTCCCCGAAGAGAATATTGCCACAATGAAGTTTGGTGCCCAGGTGGTGAAGGGGGAGCTAAAATCTGCCCTCTTAGATGGTGACACTCAGAATTACGACCTGGACCACGGCTTTTCCCGGCACCCAATAGAAGATGACTGCCGATCCGGGCTGCAGGTGAAGCTAGGCCAGCCGTCTATTATTAACCACGTCCGCCTGCTCCTGTGGGATCGAGACAGCCGGTGTGTATCCGATTTATCTGCCACCTCCCCTGTGACACAGAGCATTAGAGAGCTGACAGCATCCATAGTACTTTATAGAGGACATAAAACCAGTCACATCAGTCTCTCACCAGAGGAGCACTCTAATGTCCCCCTCACGCACTATTATTATACATTTATATAGCTCTGACATATTCCATAGTGCTGCACAGAGAACACTGAGCCAGTCACATCAGTCTCTGCAGCAGAGGAGCTTACACTCCAATGTCCACCCACAGTCACACATTATTATACATGTATATAGCTCTGATGTATTCCATTGTGCTGTATAGAGAACACTGAGCCAATCACATCAGTCTCTGCACCTGACTAGCTTCCACAGTCACACATTATTATTATTAGGGATGTCCCGATACAAGTATCGGTATCGGGGCCGATACCAGGCGTTTTCATGAGTACTTGTGAACATGCACCGATTCTTAAGGCAGATACCAGCCCTCTAAATTTTCAAACAGCAGCTGCTGTCCGAGTTCCCACGCTTGTGGGGACTTCGGCAGCCTGCTGGGGACCTGCAGATAGCTGCCCATGGCAGTGCCTGTCCTGTTCTCCTTCCCATCGCAGGCACTGCCATAGACAGCCCCGGGGGTAGAACTTACACCCCAGGGCTAGAAGCTGGGGTTCCTGCCGTACACTGACGGGGAGGACTGGGCCGAGAGATGTCCACATCGCCTGGTGAAATTGACACGCAGTCTGGTGAGAGGAGTTCTGCTTTGGGGACATGTATTCGCAAAACACATGTTCCCAAAGCAGAATACATGTCCCCAAAGCAATACTATTCTGCCTTAGGGACATGTGTTCAGCTTTGGAGATGTGTTCAGTTCCGGTAACATCCGTATTTAGCCCAGGTGAGAAACTGCCCTAAAATCATCAGTCTGTGTTCTTTTAGAAAAAAATTTCACATGTCCCTTTAAGGAAAAGTATCGGTAATTGGTATCGGTGAGTACATGAGGGGCAGTTCTTGTACTTGGTCTTAAAAAAGTGGTATCGGGACATCCCTAATTATTATACATTTATATGGCTCTGATGTATTCCATTGTGCTGTATATGGAACAGTAAGCCAGTCTCTGCAACAGAGGAGCTTGCACTCTAATGTCCTTAGCACAGTGATGCATATTATATTCAGCAAAGTAATGTGTTCAAACCAAATTGAGGAACTCATATATAAGGTATATATACACCTTAATTTTTTAATCCTGCATTACCTGCTGATACTAATATCTTATCTGAGATCTACAAATGTTTTCGAACCACTCTGAAGTCACATTATACCTAACCCCTGACGAAGAGGGACTCCCCAAAATGCGTTGGCACTCTTATATTATTGATCATTCAATAACATATCCTCCTGGATTATATTATCATTTGTGTGGTGCCCTTGCTACATTTTACATATCCAGCAATTAATCCCTGACAGAGGTTCTAACTCTTTCTAATCTGCCAAAGGTTCAAATGTTCTCTAAACTTCTACGAAACAACCAGCAGAGAGCTGGAAGATCACCACCTACCTTCCTTTCTGTCCCTCTAGTGCTGCCTGAAGTCCATACAGTTAACACTTAAAGGAGAACTATGGGGTTAAGGCTTTTCCCCATAGTTCTCCTTAGGGTAACGTGAGGACACAAACTAGCGTCCTCCCCGTCACCCTAGGCTCAGTATAGCTCGCGGTATACTGAGACACCGCAGCTGAAGCGGATCCCGACAATTGTGCCGGGATCCGCCCAGCTGCATGACTGACAGCTGGCTCTGCCTATCTAGAGGCAGAGCCAGCTGTACCCGCCCCCTCCCCACGTCCAGTAAGCGCTGGCGGATCGGAGCGGGAGGGGGGAATCCAGCCCCTCCCCTGTCACGGCAGAGAGCCGTGACAGGATCGAGAGGTGCGCGATCGCCGGTATGTGTTCGCTCACTTCCCGATCTACTGAGCCGACCTGTGACAGTCTCATTGTCACAGGTCGGCTAGAACTATGAGGTGAGTGAAAAGCACTCGCCTCATAGTTCTCCTTTAACTCAACAGATGAATCTTAAATTTATGTATTCAGGTACCTTAACTTTGAACAACAATGTATCTTATTTGTGTATCACTCGGCTGTAGATCCTCTTGTAATGATGGCTGGCTGTGCTGAAGCCACATGCAGTGCATTGCTAGATGGGGGCAGACACCATCCATGTTCTGTAATACATGAAATTGTAGAAACAGCAGGGGGTAATTATTAAAGGAGATCTATGGGGTCAGGGCTTTTCCCCATAGTTCTCCTAAGGGTAATAGGAGAACACATACTAGCATTCTCCCGTGCCCCAAAGATCAGTATACCGCGAGCTACAGCTCGCGGTATACTGAGACGCCACAGTCAGGACAGATCCCGACATTGCTGTCGAGATCCACCCAGCTGCGGGATTGACAGCTGGCTCTGCCTATCTAGAGGCAGAGCCAGCTGTGCCCGCCCCCTCCGCTAGTCTGGGATTGATCGAGAAGTGAGCGAGCGACGGTATGTGTTCGCTCACTTCCCGATCTACTGAGCCGACCTGTGACTGCTTCATTGTCGGTTCAGATTATGAGGCTGAGTGAAACTCCCTCACCTCATAGTTCCCCTTTTTAAGGTAGAGGGAACCTAAACGCTTTTGTAATCAGTATTTTCTTTGAATCTGCTTTTTCTACCCTATACTGGTTAACGTAATCTCTCACAAAAGCATGTCAGGGGGAAGCCAGAAGCAGGTCAAAGGGAAATTAGAAAGGAGGCAGTAAATGATCAGAGGCAAGTCAGAAGGAAGTTAGTAGCCTCAAGTATTTCATCAGACACAAGCCATTTTTTCCCCAAAGTACCTGAAATTTCTACCTGCATTCGTGTTACTTCTGAGCCTGAAACTCCTGCCTGCTATCCCATGTACAGCCTGGTATTCAACAACCACTCTACGTGTTGACTTTAAAGCCCAAATCAAGACTCTGTGTTCCTGGCTCCCTCACCTGCCCCGCAGGGAGTGAGCGTGTGAATCCCTGCACTCACATTATGTTGTCTGTCCTCCGGGTTGAATGACTCTAGGCACCATTCAATATGGAAAGAACATTTTGTGGCGGAAAGACATTACTTCGGGGAACATTGTTTGAGAGGGGATTAGTGTTGCTGTACTAGTTTTATTGTTTTATAATCCCGGCTGGGGCACCATTCACAAAAAACAAAACAAAAACGTTGCAGCGTCAACACTGAATTCTTCAGGGATGCTTAAAATCACTCGTCCTCATAGCTCGAGCCGACGCGTGACAATGAAACTGTCGCACGTCGGCTCAATAGATCGGGAAGTGAGTGAACACATACCGTCGCTTGCTCACTTCCCGATCATCTCCCTGCAGAGAGCCGTGACTGTCAGTCACCACTCCTCGCATGGATTCCCCCCTGTCCGATCCTTTAGCGCTGAGTGGAGGAATGGGCAGAGGATGGGGCGGGCACAGCTGGCTCTGCATCTAGATAGGAAGAGCCCGCTGTCAATCACGCAGCTGGGTGGATCCAGACAGTAATGTCGGGATCCGTCCCGACTGCGGCGTCTCAGTATACCGCGAGCTGTAGCTCGTGATATACTGAGCTTTGGGTCACGGGAGGACGATAGTATATGTCCTCCTGTGACCCTTAAAAGAACTATGGGGAAAAACACTTACCCCATAGTTCTCTTTTTAATGAGGGGATCAGGTCAGATTTCTATAGGTCCACTTTAAATAACTTAAAGTAGGGCACCCATGACTGACGTATTCCAGTTTCCTCCCACACTCCAAAGACTTGATAGTAGGTTAAATGGCTCCTGTTTAAATTGGCCCCAGTATGTATGTGAGATAGGGACCTTAGATTGTGAGCTCATTAAAGGTGGTGACTGAGGTGAAGTGATGCGTAAATTGTCTGTGCTGTATGTATGTATGTGTATATAATATATATATATATAT